TGGGCGGTGTTGATAGACAACCCCCTGATTGCTTTGGGATACAATGGCTACCATAATGAAGCAGAATAGCTACTCTGTCATGACTTCACATGAGCAAGGACTTCCTTACACGAGCAGTTGGCTTAATCCCCTCACCAAACAATCCTGGAATAGTGTGTGCGGTTATTAGTTACTTGGGGGAAAAATGGAGTGAAAAAGCAGCATCCAAACAATTAACATAATTTCTGATTATAATCTTAACTACACAGAAGTGAACTAAATTTTCTGATGACAAACCAGAAACTCAATCATAAATAACTTTTAAATACAAAGTGCCACTGTTCCTTAGAAAGGTGCCCAAAGATGACACTCCAGGGGACAATCCCACCACCCAGTTTCAGCCATCATTTAAGGCTGGTATCACAAAACAGTCAGTATCATCCATGGAGAGACACAGTGTCCTCGAGAGACCAGTAACAGCCTAACTGGGAGCTTGTGCTCCCTTTATCCAGGCACCCAAGCCGAGTGGTGAAAGCTGGTAGTGCAAAACCCTCCTCCCCACCTACATTACAAAATTTGTGAACTCACTTTGTTTAAACAACTATGAAGAGAGGCTTCCTCCTGAGCAGGCTGTCAGTAGGTTGTGTTTCTGAGCAATTTGTTTAGGAGGTGGACATGTGTTCGAACCAGCAACTTGGCTGCATGCCTATTCGTTTGGGAATAGGCACTCCTCTTCTGCAGACATGGTTGGGGATGTCGCAGCCATTGGCCAGATTGGATCCAAAGCTTTTGAAAATGCAAAGCAGAATGTCTTCCTTTTTTTTTTTCCACCCATTACTTCAACAATCACCAAATTTATCCCCATATTCTCACTTGAACTTTATTTCTTTCAGGCCATGCATGTGACAGTAAATAACTATGGCAGATCAGGAAACAAAATTTGTGGCCTCATAGGCACCTCCGTAAAATGAGGTAAATCTATTGGAAAAGGGAAACTGTGGGCAGTTCTGGAATAATTTTGCCTAGTACGATGTTCTTTGTCCTCAGGACAGCTGTGCTGAAGCACGTACTTGGCTTAATGTATGTGGCCTCCATGTTTTTGCACTGAGCTTTCCTTTCCTGGGCTGCTCCAGCCACACAACCTCAGTCACATTTTTCTTCCTGCATAAAATCATGTGCCCATTTTTTCACTTGACTTTTCCCTGATTTTGCTACCACAGGTTAAACTGTTAGGTGATGTCATGGAGATCTTAATTCCCAAAGTGGTGTCAATCATCCAGAAACTCTTTCTTCTGGGAGATGCTAAGCTTCGAAAATTTTTTCATGAAGAAATTCCTCCTAGCATTGCATTTGCTTGAGTCTATCCAACATAATATTTCTAGCATGTCTCCTCTCTAAAGCATCATCTTAACTTCAGCATTTAAATTTTCACCCTTGGAAAATTATTTCTCAGTGCACTAATATGCTCAGCTGATTTTGGATTCCTGCTAATCAGTCTTTTTTCCAGCTATATCATTCTTGCTTATGACTTAATATCAGAGAAATCAGAACTGAGGATTTTCTAGGATGCAAGATGGGTAATAGCACTGTTTTCAACAGTCAAATCCCAAAGATTTTAGGATTAAAAAAATACATAGCAGAAGAAAAAAGTGTCTAAATTTTCATAATGACCAGCACTTTTAACATATCTATCAGGCACCCTGAGATGAAAAAGGACAAATCAGCATCACGTGCCTCCACATCCACAGCAGGGAACAGGAAAACGCTGGTTAGTAAGTTCCAGCATAAGGACATAGGTGATCTGGTACTTAAAGATCACTCATCACCTTAGGGGGGGACTTTATCCAGAGCCATGATGTACCATCTTTTACTGTTTAATTTTGTTTAAAACATTATTTTCTTTCAGCTTTCTGTTTGTTGTCCTCACTCAACAGGCTCCAAAGGGGATTTTATTTATTGCTCTACCTTAGCAGTATAGCATAATAAGCATAATATTGAGTGTAGAGCCTGATTTGCATCACCGTTCTCCAAGAAATGGGAAGAAAGATGTTTTGTCTGTGATGAGCCAAGACAGACCCTACAGTCTGTTGTGCTCTCGTAGGCAGAGTTATAGTACTTGGCACCTTAGTTCCCTCCTGAAATGCAAGAGGCTGCTGTTACAACCCGGACTGGCATCCCAGGGAGTCATAAAGGTTTTGTGATCCCCTTGGGTTAAATTAAAGTGAAACAACACCAAATGATCAGTTAAAATATTTTACTTGTGGTCGAAACAACTTAAACTTGTAAAAGGATAGTAAGTAATGTGGTCTCTTATTGAGGAAAGGAAAGGGAAAGGAAGAGGGAGAGTGAGAGGGAAGAAAAAGAGAGAAAGAGAGAGAAGAGAGTCCGGTTGACCACACAGGTTCCAGCGTTGTCTCAGGTCCGGTTATCTTGGGTGGTGGGTGCACACATAGCAAAGTTTCTGCTGCTTTTTTTGTTCATCTTTATCTGCTGATTAGCATAGTAGACAGAGAGAGACAGGTATTCCACAAACTCATTTCCATGAGAGACGAGGCAAGGGTGGAGCATGGGTTCTGCACATGCATTGAAGGGGAATGAGGTGCACCAACCCCATTTCCCAGCTGAGACAGTGGTCATGCTCCCCCCTACCACCTTTAATTCTTCTTGGTTTTGCTTCTTGGGTAACTGTCTAGCCTTTAGCTTATCAGTCATTTTAGTCCTTCTTCAAGGGTATAGTCATAAATTAAAGTATAGGCATTAACCAAACATCTGCTTTCACTCAGTCTATGTCTCCCCCCCTTTTGGGGCTTATCTAAGAAATTTGTCAATATAACCACAAGGAACTTAAGACATGCACCCTTCAATACCTTCCATGCTTCCTTGGGCAGCATTCCTTAGACTAATCACAAAGGCTACAAGCTCGTCCTTGAGGCTTTCTGTGTTGATGAATGTTTGAGTCATCAGTTCCTTCAGTTCCTTACAGCTGGTGCACCCCAAATCCCAGCACCTGCCCTGCTTCCCCAGGCTACGCATCTCTGGGTAGCAGAGAAGTCTGCATTTGTCTGAAACTCCAGTTTGATCAGGACAACCAGCCTCTACTGTAATATACTAAAAAAAAAATTTAAATTATTGCAGTGTCAAATCTTTCCTACCCAGGTAAGCCTGGAAGCATTTAGCTTCTTTACAGAAAGAATATGAGGGATGTTACTTCCCTGTCTACTCCATAGTTGTGACTAATCCTTTTAACTGAAAGACTGTATTGTTTTGTAAATTGGAAAATGAGTTTTTAAATGTTTGCTTGCTCTTGAGGCTTTAGATGAGATTAGGCCAATGCTTTGGCTAAGCAGTTCCAGGCTTAGGTCTTGGCTCTCCTCACTCATGAAAAGCTCTTTTCAGCTTCTGTCCAGTCTTAATTACAGCTGCCACTGACTTCTTGGTATGTTCCCTCAGAGGTCTTTTCCTTATAAGCTTCTCTATTGGTGTGTTTCCCATAGAAATTAAATTGTGCAGCATTACACCTTTCCCTGTCTTTGAGCCCTTTGTATTAGGCGATTTTAGGTAAAAGACTTCCTGGTATTTCTTTTAGCATTTACCAACCCCTGACAGCACATGGGTCAGGCTTACTGGAAAAGAGGGATAATTTTGCATGGATCTTGGTGGGAACCACCTGTGCATGCAACGTTCACATGTCACTCCACACCTTGGGGAGGCTCAGGGAGGGGTTCACCTCTGTCCTCCTGAAAGCCCAAGGATGGTCCCTGCAGCTGGCAGGGCTCATACAGCCACCAAGCACTTGCTACTGGTGGCCTCATGCACTCCGTACCCTCTAGCCAGCCCTGGAGGGCCCAAAATGACAGCATTGAAACCTTGACTGCCTACCAGCATCCAGCCATCACAGTACAATCCACCCAGCTTCCCTGCTGCTGCCTGCAAGTGGATTTGAACCTATGCTGAAGCTGAAGAAGCTGTATTGAATCCCATCAGCCCTGTGAGACATGATGCTGCCTATCCATGCACAGAGCAATTCAACACTTCAACAGTATCAGGCTTCAGATAGCTGGACTGCTACGTCCTGAGAAATTTTAAGCTAACAGAAATTAGTTTATTTAGTCCCTTCTCTCTTCTTGGGTATGCTTGGTCACCAGTAGCAAAAACTAATCAATTCTCATCTACCTTCCTCTAGGAATATTGTTTGTGCCCTTATACTTTGCATATGAACAGATATGTACAGAGGCACAAGCTGCATTTTCTAGGTTTTTGATTGAAATACTTCAACAAAAGAAAGGAGTTGGAATCGTTCTATGAGGTCAATTCAGATTCAGCAGCACCCTTACATGATAGTACATCCATTCCCTCTCCTTAACATGAAGTTTGGTTGCTGAAAGATACCATTTGCAAACTGGTCTCCATCTTCTCCAAATAGAAACAGACACCGAACATCTGTCAATCTCCTAATCGTGTATGTTACTAGATCTATGGCTTAGCCCTTAGAGGATAATGAACTTCTTCCAGCGAAATCACTGTGAATGCTTCATGTCCAAACCTCACTGCCCCTTATCCAGCGTGTGTCTAATAGCTGTTAAATGGGACAGAGCACTGCTACCAGGAAGGACTTTTTGCTCATCTCTGATGTAGCTGAGGGCCAGGCTATGAAATGCCTGTGTCCTCTGAGCACTGCAAGACCAAAGCCAGCTGTCATCTAACACAGCTTGTGCTCTCACTAAAGCATATGCCCACTGTCACAGCTTCTGCAAGAATTAGGCATTTCTTCTTGTGCCTTGACCTGGATTAAATATGAAATGGTCACTGCACTGTGGCAAAAAGAAGTCACTCTCAACACAAAGAAAGCACTGCAGGCTATTTGGCTACAGCTGAAATTCTCTCACCGGCACTTTGCAAACTCCATTCCCACTGATTTTGAGAGGGTGTCCAGCACCTTACAGCTGCATGCTGAGAAGGAGCTGATGTTGAGGCTCTCCTGTGCCCATCCATGTCAAGCAAAGCAGAGACGAAAGCCATGCTTCTTACAAACAGGTTTATTTGCATTTTGACTGGAGCACAGATTCTAGATACAGATTTCTTCTGCACAACAGTACAAGAGCCAGTGCAAAATATGCTTTTTTTTTTTATTATTATTCATGTACAAAAAAAACCCCAAAACCAACAAACAAAAAGACAAAGAGTGTGGCAGTATTTACTCACAACTGGTATGCCTCAGCCTTCAATTGACCCACCTCCACTTGCCCTCACCCCTCACGCCAACTTTGTGGTCAGCATTGCCTGTCTCAAGTGGCTGCATTGTCAGCAAATAGAGGTAACTCCCCTAGCCCTTTGAAAGATAAACACTCATCCCAAGCAAACTGGGACAACAGCAGGCTACTTAAAGTTGGACACACTAGTTGCTCACCAATGTGTCCCCCCCACAGGGAGCAGAAAAATGTTGAGGGAATGACAAAAAAAAAAAAGGTACGAATCAGAAATGCACAAAAAATTAGGCACCAGCTTAACCCACTTGTTAAAGAGAGGTAAGGATGTTAAGATACACCTCCAGTCTGCCTTCTCATATTCACCCACAGTAGTGATGACCAAGGACAAACACTCCCCACTTTGAGTACCCTGTGCTGTCAAACAGATTATAATCTTAAGAAAATATTTCTATTAGTAACATAAAGTTAAACCATTTCATAACTGGAGGAGAAAGAGAAGCTACAGTCTGAATACAAGCATTTCTTTGATAATAGTCAAAAACAAAAACAGAAACAGACAAAAAAACCTGTCCCAGTCAACCACCAGATGATTGTTAGAATTACAGCCAATGCTTAAGCAATACAACATCGAGCTAGGAAAGTCATTGTATGGTTGTTCTGCTTAGGGAGTAGCTCTTACTACTTTACAAAGCGTGGGGCAATCTATTTCTCTTTTACTCTAAGTAATTTTCAGAAGCTGCAATATAGAACTGCAGTGTTAGTGCAAGAATATGCTCATCTTCACCAAGGCCTGGGACTTATATTGCAGAAATTCATCAAATTTACATCGCTCCAAGTGTATCATATCCAAATCACCTAGAATCGCTTATGGACTTTTACATTTCTACCCAAGGAATGGCTGGGTTTCGAAGCTTAATCAGCCAGAGTCTTTTATATTGAACTGCAATTAAACAAAGCAGAGTACCAGTTAAAGCCAAAGAACACAAGTACTCAGCACATATATGTGTTGATACAGTACAGTATGTATGTGTATATATACGCATAAATATGTATATGTTACATTATAAGGAGAGTGCTATTCAGGACTTCTCAACTGCAAGAATCCTTTTTCCACCTGCAAGTCTTGAAACTTCAGCCCGCTAAATTTCACACCAAGGCAATGAGAACTCCAATATTTTCCAGAATGAATTATTCATTTTAGCCAATTAACCAAGCAGGGCCAGATAAAAGAACAGGATCTTTAATTTTAATAACACCAATCCTGCCACCTCAGGCAGATGGCCCAAATTTCTATCACCAGATTATTTGCCCCTTCCTTGCCCTGCAGTTGTGTATCACGAGCATTTCATGAGTTCTCAGAACATCAACAAAGTCGTACTAACTGGTCTGTCTCAATTTACTCAGCTGTCAAGAGAAAATGCCAATTTATGAAATAATTTCAAACAGCCAGTTCAGATCTGAGGAGAACCCAGGTTTATACTTTGCAGTACTGGCTGGAGTCATACTGGTTTTAATCATGTAATGGTTCTGCCTTTTCATCCCCAGCAACTCCACTTCTTATCATAGTGGCTGTCGCCATACATGCAACCTAAGAGCTAGACAGTTTGGGATACTCTACAATTAATTGTAATCCTAAAACGCAGACCTTATAAAGATCTGCTGTACAAATTTCATGTATAGAGCTGAAAAAAAGTCTCATCTAAATCACTTTGAGCAGGTGTTCCATTTGTTACTTTTTAAAAAAAGAAATAGGATCAAACAAAAAAAAAAAAAAAAAAAAGAAAAAGCAAGAATAAATGTAACAGGCACTTAAGAGCAAAGCAAATGCAAAACCCTTCTGGATATTTAGATGAGGGGGAGCTACTCCTCTTCCTGACCTTTACCCTACCTAGAATTTAGACATCTAGCCCAGACTAATCATTTGTGCTTCCTCCAGTCTTGAGGAAACAAAAGCTTCCTTTTGGAAGCTGTCACATCCTCAAACAGGGAAAATAAGTCTCTCTGGTGATGGCAGACCCTCTATAACCACAGGGAGAGTCCAAGATTACCTGCCTCTTACACAGGTGAGACAAGTCTCTTTCTCTCACTCCTGAAATAAGCCACTACCATAAATCCTGAAGGCTTTTCTTGGATCCTGCATGGACAATCTCACCAACTTCAACAGGGCAAGGGTTTGCTCTTATGTTTTTGGGAGGCAGAGGGGAAGGTTTGTCAGCAGTCCAATCTCACACCAGCGTTGCTTTGACCACTAGCACTAGCTGCTCAGCCATGATGGCTCATGGCCAGTTTGCTCATACAGAACCACTGGTTGCTTATGCAGCATCATGCAACAAGGGAAAAGCACGCAACACGTTTTCCTGACACCCAGCACTGCACCACAGTCTACACCTTCCTCGAGGCAGGCAGCGGAGGGGGAGATGATGATTCCTCCCACTGGTGACCATCAATAGGACACGAGGGAATGGAAGAAAGCTGCATTGGGGAAAGTTCAGGCTGGACATTAGGAATAAGTTCCTCACCAAGAGGGTGGTTGGTCACTGGAACAGGCACCCCAAGGAAGTGGTCACAGCACCAAGCCTGTCAGAGTTCAAGGAGCACCTGGACAACTCTCAGTCATATGGTTTAGTTTTAGGTAGTGCTGTGAGGAACAGGGAGTTGGACTCAATGATCCTTGTGGGTCCCTCCCACCTCAAGATATTTTATGATTCTAAGCTGAAGTAACTTGACATTCTTCTGGACACCAACCTAGCTGTGCTATGTCTTCATGGGTGTGTATGTTACGTAACCACAACCCTCCAAATTTCTGATAGGACTACAGAGCTTCAACAAGGACTAGAACTACTCTGTCAAGTGAGTGTAGACCTTACACACACACTGAAGTTACACAGCTTTACAAACAGTCTAACACAGATAAATCAGTGGAGCCCACCCAGTAGGACAGTATTTATAATTTATGAGATTATTTACTCTGGTATACCTTCTTACAGCATGGAAAGGAGAACAAGATATATTGTCAAATTCATCCTCATATCTGTATAAAGTTATTTTATTTTTAAAAATCTAAATTTAACAAGGCCCTAATGAAGAATTACTTTTGTTCAAAATTAATTGAGCAAGTGTAACTGAAACACTATGAGGACTTTTGCATATAATTCCTTATGGGCAAGATTTGTATTTTAAATAATCAAGAACAAGTTATATTTTTTTCAGTAAGCGAACAGTTCTCAATCCCTAACTCTGGAAGCAAAGCTACCTCTATCCTTTCTTCACATGGCTGTGTTTCAGTATTGCTGTGTCACCTGAATTACAGAGCTATCACATGTAAGTGGATACAGTACAGGCTACACTCCTGGCCACTCCATGGTCTTTTTAAAGTCATTTTCATCAGGTCATATTCATCTCTCCAAGTTGCATGCCAGCAACAGCTATGGTATATATTGTGCCAGTATTACAAAACAGGATGAAAAAGCACAGCCAACATCCATCTTCCAAAGCACTTTCCACAAAATAAACCAAAGAGCTCCTGGTACGCAGGAGCACATTGGTCCCACTTACTCACAAAACACAGTTGGAATTTATTCCCTGTTTTGCAAAGCAGCTGTAACTGGCCGCAACCTGCACGGCAGTGCGGAGCAGGCTGCAAAGCCAGGCAGGTGACACAGGCACCACAGCAGCATGAAGCTTGACAAGGTGTCTCCTTCCTCTCAAAAAGATGGAATTTCCCATTCTCCACAAAGGCATTTCTTCCCCCAAAGCTCCCTTTGGCCTCTGTCTGACCTCCCCTCTCTGCCAGGAGACCACTGACAGCCTCCTCACCTACACAACTCAACCAAGAAGCCTCAAGCTCCTTCACTTCAGGGGGAGGAATCATCATGTCCCAAAGCCTAGGCATTCTTTTTGGAGAAACACTACAATTCATGGAGCATCCAGGACACCCAGTTGAGCAAGATCATGCCTAAGTAGGCACTGTTACTCAATTAGCTGAAGGTTTTCCCCATTGTAACACAATTTTTCTATTCTAGTATTATTTTTGGTGTAAAAAAAAAAAAAAATCAGTGGGATGGGTGGGTTTTTTTTGCGCAAAACTCGATGCTTTTAATGAAAAAAAGGTTGCTTTTCTCAATATTTTGCTGTTTATTTCTGTTGGGAAAGCTTGAAACACATCATTTTTGTCAGAAAACTATCAGTCCGTGTCTGCCTGAATTCCTCCAGTGTCAGCTGGGAGCTGTAATTCATGGGATCCATGTCCCCCTCTTTCCCAGAAGGCTGGGTTCCTGGGCACCCCTCCAGCCTTCATGACGCATTCCCCCTTTGACTAACCCATGGTAAGAGTATCATGGGATCTGTAAGCCAGCCAAAGAGCTTAGCCCCAAGGGAGAAACGGCACACAAGGCACTTGAATGGTAATTTCTGAGGTCTGCAACAGTAGCTCAAACTGATGCTGCCTTAAGGGCCAAATGGATTTAATTAAATGTTTCCATTTCAAAGGGCTAGAACATTTTATTCAGCATTTTCCAGCTGACAATTTCTCATTTTTTGAAAAATTTCCATTCCAGGAAAAATTTTGGTATTTCAGCTTTCCATCTCAATTTGGGAAGAAATTTAATGTTCAAGTACCAGAATTCAATGCTATATGGACATTCAGTTTGGGAAACAGTCTTATTAATTAGCTGCCAAAAGTGAAATTACTCTATCCATGCAAGAAGGGTGTGATCCAGTTTGCCTTTGACATCACTGGAAGCCACTTTTTCAGCTTAGTGGAGCCTGGGTGGCATCCCAAAAGACCAAGGGAGGGTAGAGTTGACCATAGTTGCAGATATTGGAAACAGAAGTTAAGAGTGAAATAGCAAGAATATAAGTGGCAACTAAGATGATCTGTTACTTGGACTCAATCAAAAGTCTTACTTTAGTGAGTAACAGAAGGAAAACCCATTAAGATTATAAAACCTAATTTCCAGTTACAGCAAAGATAGAAGTTAATCAACACTATATAGAGTATAAAAAATCCAAAATATGAATTTGTCATGAGCTCTATAACTTTCAACGTTCAAAACATTTCTTCAGAAACCCTTCATATACTCCATTCAAGGAGACTACTCTAAAGCTAAAGATACAGTATGGTCCTGAACTGTTTGCCTCAGGTTGTCTGTCCTCCCTTGAACCCTGCAAAATTGTTCTGTTGGATGGGTATTACAGAAGCTCTGTCAGGAGGGACCAAGGTCTATGGACTTTGAGCACGTCTACATGTGAAGAACCGTTAAGAGCAGGCTTCCAGGGTTGACACTCTGGGTGAGGACTGAGCACCAAATCCATCCTCTGCATTGCCCAGTCTGGTTTTGGATGTAGCCCCAGGCCTTCCACCTCAAAGAGTAAAAGAGGACCCCCAGGGAACCTATGTCCATCAACAACAGGGTGTGTGTTGAAAGCAAGAGAGCACTCAGAACAGTAAATAAATCAATTCACCCAACCATGAGGCATCTAGAGAATTGGATTTTGTTTATCTTTCATTTCCCTTTAGTACAAGGCAGATGTTTCTAAGTAATAAGCAGAAACCTCGACAATTTTTAAGACTGAAGAGGAAGGGAGGGAGGAAGAAACAAGTACAAGCTTTGAGGATGTTCTCAGCTCCAGCTTCAAAAAAAACCAAAACAAAACAAAACAAAAACCCACAAACAAACAAACAAAAAAAAAAAAAAAAACAAACAAAACCAAAACCACACAACACCAAAAATGTATATCTGTAAAAGCAAGTTTTTTCTTAAGCTGCTTGGTAATTCTTAGTTCATAGGAGCATTTTATCCAGAAGGTTCTTCATGTTTCCAGTCTAGGTTGTAGCAATCTCAGTGAGGCACTAAATTTTAGGCTGTTAAAGTCTTTCTATGCAGCACAGTCATTTTAAAATGATGTGGTAGCCATCATTGCTTTCAGCTGTAATAAAGAAACGCAAAGCATTTTTTCATTGCTTTTAGAAAACAGCAGATACAGAACTCTAGATTTTCTTCTTAGGTAGTTTGCAATAGTTTGTACTCTTGTTCCAGAGCCCACTCATGAAAACCAATGTTGAACATCTAGGTCAAAGCATTTACATAAATATAACATACTAATTGCCATCTTCTATCATTTTACTAGAAGGTTTTCTGCTCATTTATGTCAGTGGTATAAAACATTCATAAATCCATTGATAACAGTGTAACTGAGAGGAAAGCATAAATCAATCAGTCTATCATAGTATAAGTTGATGCAACACCTTGACTTATGCTAAATTACATTACTTATCTTTTCGGGATAACAGCACCAAGTTTGTGATAATGTTTAGTGCAATTGAGAGGAGAAATTATCTTTAAAGCCACATGTAACAGCAGCAGCAATACATACCTTTTAATGTGCTGATAACAAAACAAGATTCATCTTGGAAGTTCTGCACCATCTAAAGGGCAGAAGGAAAAAAGCCAACAAAATATTTTTAGCAATTAAATTCAAGTTTCTTTCAGTGCCATTATAGACTTTAGAGGAGAGATATCAAACAACATTTGGTGTCTAGTCCTACAAAGTCCTGAGTAACCCTGCCTGTAAGATTATTAAAGTACATGACTGATTAATTAAGGTCCTCGCAGCTGCTAATATGCTACGAGAAACTCATACTAAAGTGCCTGCCTGTAACTTATCTTGTTAAGCATTTTGCCATCCTCTTTGCAGCTCTTAATCCTGCAAATTCTTATACTGCTCCAGTTAGTCTATTAAAGACCATGCTCTTAATTGTCTTCAGTCAAGCTATACTAGTTTAGACTGGATAAAGACAGTCCCTCTCCTAAAATCTAACAATGGTAATACACATTCATCTGAACAACAAAGCTCAGCTGATCTTACATTAGCATCCAAAATAATATCTAGAGGTGGTCTGCTCTGAGAAACAGACTCCTTGCTGAATAAAGGAATATTTCTACTGAAAAGCCATCTCAGCACAGTCCACCTGATTATTTTGACCAGACATTAGTACAGATACTGTGCTTGCAGTAATCATTTACCTTTTCGTATTCTGTTGAGGCACAGGAATCTTAATGGAACTGCTATGACAGGCAAGGCAGACCTTGCAAGATTAGTACCTAAAGCTACTGGAGTTATTCATGAGAAACAACTAGATTTTCAAAACACGTGCAGGTTCTAGTGAGGCCCTTAAAGAGGTGAGTTAAGATATTCAGCTGACTTCAGATCCAACCTGAAATGCTCATTTAAGCTTTATCCTTAGTCAATACTTCCTCCCATCTTAGAGTAGCTGTGTGGGACACAGGAGGTGAATTACCTTCAGGAGTTGTCTAATACAGTTGAAGCAGATGCTGGACTCCTAAATTCAGAGAGGAAGAGACCAGAACCTCTCTGGTCAGCTCAGAAAATCCAGCTTTAAGCAAAAGCCTTTTCCTAGTCATTGAATATCATTCAAGTAGAGCACTTTCCAGCTGTAAGTTCTCACACCAAATATACTTTTTAACTTAGATAAATCTCCCTATTCTCTTTTGGGTTTAGCATCCACTCCCTGCTCCCGCAAATCAAAGTTCACTGGCCAGTCTGTATGTCTGTGCCTAATGATGCATGAAGTACATTCATAGAGTGCCTCATTCTTGCCACTATAGTACTAGAACAAGAAAAAAATTATTAAAAAAGTAATAGACATTGTTAATAATTGACTTAAATAAATACTTAAAGCCTTATACCCAAGCTGGTTCAGGCAATTCCCCTATCAAGAGTTGCCTCCAAGCACTTTACATCCATAAAGCATCAAGATTTCAGATTTAATCAGGCTGAAATAGCAAGGAGACTTTATGAATAAGCATTACAGACTCCAATTTAGGCTCCAGTTGAGACCTATGCTCTGCTTCATTTGTTTTAACAATGTTTCTTATAAATGAAGCTCCTTAAGTGATTCTGGTGCATGAATGAGTAAGTAATTTAGTGGGGGGAAAAGAGAAAGGAGGGCAACTCACTGTTAACCTGCAAGTTAATGGAATGGACTAAATTAAGCCATCATATAATTGGACACAAACAGCTAGCAGAGGTCCATTAAATTATAGTGTGCACTTACGCAGCACTGACTCTGACCCAGTAGCTGTAATCACTGGCCAAGATGTAAAACTAATTGCTCTACAGAGTTTCAAACTTGCTTTCTTTGGGAAATTTTCCTGTTAAATTTTAAAGGTTCTCACTTTAGATCATCACTTCAAAACTTGTTTAAGTAGCCAACATGAAAAAGAAATCACTGATTTTGTTGTGTTTTGTTTTGAAAAAAACTCCACTCTTTTACAAAGCAAAAATCTTAAAACCACACCAAAATCAATGGTATGCATGAATGATTTGCATTAAGTATTTGCTTTAACTTGTTTGGATTAGTAACCTTGCAAAGCTTCCTTGAAGATTCATTCCATAATTTAAAAGGTCATTGTAACTTCAAAAGTCAGACAACTGTTACAGCTCTGAGTTTGCATTAACTCCTTACCTCATTGCTCACTAATACATGGATCCCTGTGGGTCCCTGCCGATAGATTCGATTTATCTGCTGTGGAGAAATGCTGTACAAGTTTGCAATCTTTTCAATTAATTCCAGTGTGGTCAATTCTTCCAAGAAGATTGCATGATATACTGCAACAAGTTGAAAGTAATTATGAAATGATAGCGTAATTATAGAACAGCAACTACAGAAAACACCAAGATGCTCAATATCAACAACCAAATGGGCTTAAGATCAAGGTTCAAATCTTGACAGTAGATAAACAAGCTTAGTACCTTTAAAGCAGTCCCTGACTATCCAGCTTGATGATTTGTAGAAAAATAGTCAGTATTTGGATGCAGTGGGCAAATAAAGCACATGTCACTTTTGACCAGAGGAAAACACAGGGACTAATGACAACATGTATCACGGGGCACTTAAAAAACCCTCTCAAAGATTATTTTTGGAAAATCTACTTCTGATTTTGACATTTTAAAGTAGATTCAATTAAATAGTAAAACACACGATATTATGTTAGACGAAAGTAGTATTTTATTAGATGTTATCCCACTGATCCCATCAGTACAAACTAAAGACTACAATGTATCAAATAACTGTAGATTACTATTATTTTTTAAATCCAATCCAAATGGTAGGGAAAAAAAAGAAAAACAGGTAGAAAATCTGTGCCTGTTTAATATTACGTGCAAGAACTAAGGGCAGTATCTAGTCTCATTTGATTGTATATCATGTCATGAGAGATAGCTTAGAGCAGTGAGTCCCCAAAAGCTTTGAACTTCCAAGAATTAGAACCTCACTTTAAGACATTCCGACCTTATATTCCCCAGAATATTTCAGAATATTTTCAAATACGTCATAATCTAAAGCAAGTTGTGTATGGGAAGGTAGTTTTTAATGCTATGGTCCCTATGAAGAACTGACTAGAGATTTTGCTGTGACATTCTGCACAGACTGTAACTGGTACTGTCTCCCCAGGCAGACAGTACCAGTTGGAATCTGTAGCCCTAAAATGAACCACAGTGGTAGAACTGGGATAAACAGGACCTCTTTAAACCATCAGGACAGCAAGCTGTCCCTCACAGGAGCTCAGGCAGAAAGCAGCATTCTCACCAGTTAAGCATTTAACAAAATCCATACATAAAAACTTACCACAAAGACTGCCATCTCCATTTTCTCGTTTTTGGTGGAGATGGGACCTGTTTTGTTCTGGTTCTTGACAGACATAAATTGTCATCTTTGGCCTTACATTTCTATGGATTATTAAAAAATAGTGAGTTATTTAGTAAATCTAAAATTGTTCCAGTCAGCTATCAAATAATGAGAGATGGAATCATTCAAAACTGTATGTAAATAACCAACTAAGGAACAGTCCTGATTCTGGTGACTAGATGTTTTAGGTGGTCTAGTAAGATCCTCCTGGGAGGTGGTGGTACAGTGCAGAGCACCTTGATCTCAACCAGTTTACAGCACTTGCCAAGCAGCTTATCACACCTGCCTTTACTGATGTAAATCCTGCTCAGCTGTAGAGTTTATGATGTTATTGCAATAAAAGTAAGTTTAAGAGTCATCTGAGGCTCCAGGGTTAGTTGGATTGTTTGTTGTTTGCTACCTGTGATGGAGATGCAACACAGTGTATTGTAGGCTGTGTCTCATATGAAGTGGATGGAAGCTATCAGCTAGTAGCAAATAAACCAGTGGAGATCCACATTATGCCGCTTCACTTCAGCAATATTTTTGAGCTGTGCTTGGATTTGAATACCATTGTGATTTCCAGCCTCTGAGATGACCTGTCTGCAGCATTAAAAGGAAGTCTAAATGCTACAGCTCTAGGATTAACTTATAGTTAACACTGACTTTACCAAGGGATGCTGCCACAAGAATAAAAATAGGAAGGAAGAAGTACAAACCTTCCTTTGATTGCATTAAAGAGCCGAATTCCATCAGCAGGCCCACAGATTTGAACAAAATCTTCTTTGGACATCTTCAGTAAGTCAGCACCTATATATTTCAAATTGATTTTTTTTCAGAAGTTAAGCAAATTTTACCTTCCAAATTGTGTGTATAGGCAGCAGGAAAGGGCATGGGGAGAGAATCCACTAAGCTAAATCAGACAGATTTGCCTAGAGAAGTTGCAAATTCAGAGAGGTGTATATTGCAAATCAATCATTGTGAAACAGAGAGCTAGAGGCTGCCAAAAGAGCAGTGCTGCACTGGAAGACAATCTAGCCAACTCACAGACAAGCTATATATTTAACATCAGCCATTAAATGGCCCATTTTTTTCTAACTGTCATGTTTATCAGATTATTTAATCGGCTCCTCAAGATTTCAACATCTTTAACAATTCCCACCTTCCACCATCTTACTGCTATGTACAACTACCTAATGGGAGAGTACAGTGAAGATGGAGCTGCAGATGGAGTCAGACCCTTCTCAGAGGTGCACAGGGACAGGATGAGAGGCAACAGACAGAAGATGGGAAACACTGATTAGGTATAAGGAAAAACATTTTCACTGTGAGAGTAGTCAAGTATTTGAAGAGGTTACTTAGAGATATTGTGGAAATTCCAGCCTTGGAGATAGTCAAACGCAACTGCACAACTTGCTTCAAGCAGGGGGCTGCACCTAATAAACTCAGGATATCCCTTTCATCTTAACTTACTCTTTCACCTTTACTTATTTTATATTTCTACAAACTGTTTTGGCAAATTTTAACTAATCCAAGAACAAAAAAAAACACTATATTGGATGAGACCAGTGATTCCAACAGTTGCCAGCAGCAGATGCTATTGATACGAAGCATGAGTTGCACTTACAAAAGAGAATAAAAATAAAATAATTGGACTTTTCAAACTCACCCGAAAAACTTGAGAAGAGTCTACAGAATGGAGAGAACCTATTACGATGAAGCCACTGCTGGGCATCTTGAATAGAAGCAGAAGGAAGGAGATGCTACATTGCAAAAAGAATAAGAAGGTCTTGAAATGAACTGTTCACCAGTGTCCTAAAAAAGAAAAGCACCACATTAACATGATCTCAAGTACTTACATCATTGCTGGGAGGCAGGAGCTCCACTTGGTGGGTTGGAGAACTGTTGCTAAAAAAAATTATATAAAGTTGGAAGAGAAAAAACAAAATTATTTTAAATTTTACATTGCAGTGTCCATCCTCTTCCCCCTCCTCTATTTGACTCAACGGTCACAAGTTACATGCCAACTTGGCTTTCTTATTCTATCAGAATTTTAAAAAGGTGTCCAAAAGTTGGACCAAGGAAAAAAAAAAAAAACCATCTCTATTTGAGCCTTTTGTTGGTCATTTGAGGTCCTACTCAACACTGAAAGAAATACTCCGTTTACTGAACTGATTCAAGCTTTTCCATGTGGGTGACTCACTAATGTGACAACATTTAAGCAAGGAAGTTGAGACCTACGGGGTGGCTGAACCCAAAATTTTTACAATCCAAAAATCCCCTAACTAAATCCACTGCCCAATAAGGATTCTTCACAAAAAATATAATTCAACCCTGGTGTTATCTTAAACATAGTAAATTGCAATTTAACTATATTAAATAAAAGCTCATTTCTACTAAACCCTTCTAAAACATAGACAGGGCTTCAACACATCAAGGATTTTCCCCAAATGTTAATCTACCACTGGAAGAAAATGCTCAACAGATCTCTCTACTAAGACCAATTTTTTGTCATTTCAGTGTTTGTCCTTATTCCTAGGTTGAGGTTGCTCATTGTAAATTTGTGACAAAACACTGATTAATGAGCTGTATGGGAAGGCAACAAAGCTGCAGAGTCCTAGAGAAGGAAAGGAAAGGCCTATGCCAAATTCCTAGGGGAAAGTATGTTGCAGGGAAGACTCAGAAGTATCGAGGGACCCTGCTGTATGTTTCTGTCATCAGCTATTATCTTGGGTGTTTCAAGACAACTAAAACAGTTTCTTTATGATGGGTATATTAATGAACTAAACGTGCCTCCTGTTAGTCCTTTGTTCTGGAACAGCGCCTCAAAAGCCAGGATGTTTGGCACCAGACAGGGTTTCTCTACATCCCATTCAACTGGGAATTCAGCACCCCAAACTATCTCAAGACAGAAAGGAAGACACCAATTCTGAAGAGATGCTGAAGTCTGAAAGCCTCTAACACTCTTGACAGAAGATACTGGGAATTGCTGGTACAGGGCATGGTGTGTTCTCTGACCCCCACAGAAGAGTGAGAGAGGAAGGGCAGAAATTTCCCTGGTGGTCCTCTGATGCTCACCTCCCAGTCACCGCATAAGCTGTGGACATACAAACAGCACTCTTTGCTACAGGGAATTCCTGGATGGAAGATCTTAAAAGCCTTTGTGGGAAATATTTTTCTCTTTCTAGGAAGAGTGGTCCTTAGCCTCCTCTTCCAGGGTATGAAATGCATGGGCACACAAAACACACGCACGCAAAGGCTACCATATCAACAGGAAAGAGAAAGCATTTATTTGTTACATACCCATCTCCAAGGTTGAAGCTGTTGGGAGAACTGTTGTAGCTTGGAGATGGAGCATTGTTCATTTGATAAGGCACATCTGGCCAGGGAGAGCACTGTTGGAAGAAAGGCAGCAGGGATACTTTCATAAGGATGGAAATAAAGGATTTGATTCTCCTCTCATACCACATTCATGCTGTTGCCACGCCACTAACTTCAGCTCATCACTCCTGCTGGGAGGAGGAGACGGGCCATGGATTTTCTATGCTGCTCTCCAAGCGGGCTGTCAGGGGGCCAGATTGATTCCAGTTGTGCATTCCACATTTCTCCCATTTCACAAAGCCTGTCCCCAAATAACACTGGGCCAAAGTGTGCACAGCTGTAAGTCAGAGCAACGCCAGTAAGTCAACTCAGACTGAAGGCAGCAATGATACAGAAATACCCCTGGTCACAATTATAAATCCTTAATTAAATCCAGGCAAGAGTGACAAATATGCTCCAGTGGCATTGCTTCAGGTTTATACCAGTGAAGGAGCAGAATTTGAACCAGGCTTCTAAAACCTATTAGTTGAAGAGCTTGAGTTATAAATGGATTTTACATGGAGAAAATTTAAGATAGACAGACACAAAGATACTAAAAGCCTTCACAAATATAGGTCAAACTCCATATTCCATTACAGTAGTGTAAAACCAGAGTAACCCAGCTAGAATCAGTGACTTTATTCTGAATTTAAGCCACTGTAATCAGTAGGAGAAATCTAGCCCTGTGGAACCCCCTGCCATCAAGAGCTCCAGAAAACGCTCTGTAATATCCTTGTTTGCAATGATAAAAAAGAAGACACATGTAGATTTGGAGTTTTATCATCTCCACAAATACTAGCAAATATTTTATCATCTCCACAAGCACTAGCAAATATTTAACTCTTTGGCAACCCATATTTCCACATGCAATATGTCAAAGTGCATCAGAGCTCATAGGAAGAGTTTAGGATCTGCCAACTCAGTAGAATTAGGTCTGTGTACACAAGAGTCTCATTAACAACCACCACAATGAATTAGAAAACATGCTGGTCGCTCCTGGCAACATGAGGAAAATTGAGTGGGAGGGACTGGATCTCACAAACAGGAAGTTTATTAAAATTAAGAAAACCCCCTCATTTTTTAGAAGTCCAGCAAGCCACTTCAAAAACACAAGAACTAAATCAAATGACAAGACATTCCCATAGGAAGACAGAATAGCACTTTTAACCCACTGCCTTGAGTCCTGTTGCTTAGTAATTCTGTAGCCTGGGGTAAGCTTATATATACATCTTAGTAATGGCAGGGAGGATAGAAACACATACATCTCTACACCAGAAGCATCAGAATAGAAGACATTTAAGATGTTCCTAGACTACAAGCCAGAATCTTCTGAGATCTTGTATGTAACAGTAGCTTCATAGGCGCATTCACAGAAAAACAGGTAAGTTAATCAGGCTATTGATCTGTTCAGGTGCCCCATCTCCAACATGAGCTCTTGCCAGACAGTTCTGAAGAAAATATCCCATACAACTGGCATCTAGGTGCCATGACAAGTGCCCGGGAGCACAGCAGAAGATAGAGAAAATGTTTCTTTAAAGCTAGGCTGTTAAGGATTGGTTTATACCCTGAAACATAAGACATTTTGGCATCTTTTAACTTCAACAGTGAGACACATTTTATAATTTCACTCCACTATCAATTTCAATCAGATCTGGACATACATGTCTCCACAAGGCAATCTCCAGGGCTCAGTTAAACCGCATTTTCTCTCAAATCTATCTTCCAACATGCTGAAGTAGTATGACATGTCTAAAACACTTTACCTCTGTGAGAATTGTTGTCTCATAGGAAGGCTGATACTTCTCCTTCTCTTGGGTGGTCTTCTTCTCCATTTTTTCCCTGTCAGTCTTCTGTTTTCTGTCTGCTCCTTTAGGCTATAATCACAAGCACAAGCTTTCCCTTCTGCCAAATATTACAAGTTTGGAGACAGAGGCCAACAGATTTTTTTTTTTTTTTTCCCTAATATGTTCACAAAAGTCTCCTTAAGATTTATGGGAACTCTACATATGGAACAAGATCAGATCTGCATTTTCTAGAGAAAAAAAATAGTTAAGCATATCTACTGTTCCTATAACATCCCCCAATAATGCCTACTGTAATTCCAAAATAGGCTGACCACAGTCCTGAGATTTGATATCAACTATTTTAGACCATGAGCCCCATGACTTATACACCTCAGCTGGTATTTGTACCATCTCTCCAGGAACAGGGAAGACACTGCTCACAGGAACAAAACTGGAGCAGCAGATCCTTTGAGAAAACAGGCCTATAAAAAGTTTGTTGTTAAGTGGCTACAGGTCTGCCATGCCCAGATTAGAAGCTTCAGAGATGCATCCTTTTCTTCTCCAGGTAGCACGGAGAGGAAATCTGCTGCAACAAACAAAGGGTATTTAAGATCTCCAAGATACACTCTCATTGTTCACAGAGGATTGAATTAAAGAAACTGGAGATGCCATAGTATCTTGGATTGCATAGAAGCACCAGAACACAGTGGATACCTTAAATATCCCAGTATTTGTATAGTGTTCAAGGCACAATGGACTGGCATAAGTCTTGGTGCAGCATTTGGGTCATCTGAATTTAACTAGAATTGCTGTGTAGTTCAGTGTTTATGTCACCTTCTGTGCAAGAGTCCTGTTTAAGATCTTAAGCATATCCAGTTAAAAGTGTGGGTTTTTACTCCACTATTTGCATCACTACTACACAATTTAAAAACTATGCATGTTTCTGTGTCTTAATCTAGTTGATGACAAAGACAAAACTACCTCATACCTTGAACACTTTGATCTGGCAGCTTGCAGAATGCAAGTGTTCTGTATATTCACCATTTTCATTCTGCTTAAAGGTGTCGATTTGTACACGGAAGGGTACCCCTTTCTCTCCTCCATGTTTTCGTGGAGTAAATTCTGTGCTGATGCAATGTACCTGGCAAAACAAAAGCTGTGCTCATCTCTGGAGACAGATGGAAGCTGTGCAAATCTGAGTTTCAGATTTTGCCTGAACATGAGGCTTTGGCTCATCCCGAGAAACTAAGAGAGGCAGAATAGTTCATATGTTTTCATTTCTGTTCCTCAGGACAAAACAATTAGAAGAATAAGCATCCCAGAAAGAAACAGGACATCAGAAGAAGCATCCTTTGACTTAAATAAATCCCACATACAGATTAAAAACAGATAGTTGGCGTTTTGGATGAGAAACGCCCATGAAAGAAAGCAAGCAAAACTAACAGGTTGTGAACAGTTTCCCCCAGACAAGACCCATGCTTAAGCAACATCAATTTAAAAAAACAAACAAACAAACAAAAAACCTAGCTGTAGAAGGCAATACTCTAAAAGCTAGCAAGTAACTAGCAAGTTGGTTTAGCTAGTATCCTACAAATGAATTATACATGATTGTCACTCAATTGTATACTATCATTAGCACCTTTCTCACTTCTTCATGTCCTGGCTACCTTAACTCTCCAGGTCTTTGTAAGATATCTTACCATGTATCACAGGAATATCACTTCTTTCTTACCTGAATGAATGCTGAGGCTCTCTTTGATGGATCCCACAGAAATTCAACAGTGTTCAACTGGGTTGGGCTGGCTCTGGGATCCAAGATACCAACTGACAGTGGAATATCTGTAGAAGAAAACCCCTAAAATTTTAAAAATATTAAATTGAAGAAGATAAAGCATTTCCATACAATTACAAGACGCATGTGAAAAGCCAAGCCACCAATAATATATCTACCTGGGACCTATAGCACTAGATCTCCTTCCCACCCAAAGACATACAGGATTCCTAAGAGAGTAGAACATAAAAAAAGACCTGAAAACACATGGAAACACTCCATACATCATTCAGCATCTCACTTCCAAACACTGCACAGGAACCATAATGAAATAGTCTCACCTATATCAAGGATGCGGTCCCCAGGCCGACTCCACCTCCAGCCCTCAAGCTGTTGATGCTCTGTGTACTGCAGGCGTCGATCATGGAAAACTACACGAATGATGCTCTGTTAAGAAAAGATAGCAAGATGAACAATGTGATCCAGATGCCCTTCTCTTGAGATGACTTTGGTTTTCCAGCATAGAAGCAAAAGCTGATCTGTTATGTTTCTCACCCCCATTCATGAGGAGAGTAGAGGGTCCACCTAAGAGACCCATCACCATGCTTATCAAATTCCTAAGGGGCCCCTGAATGACAGCACAATACACTTTCCCCTTCATAGGGCATGTCTACACTGCATACCGCAGCCCTGTGCAGCTTTCTGGGATTTGGTCTGGAAGGACTATAGCAATGTCCACCTAATCTTAGGTGTCATACCATGTAAACATCACTATACTGCCTCCACACCCAAAATGCCTCACATAGGGGTAATATTTAACATGTCTGTACCATGCCCCAACCCCAGTATATCTCACTGACTATCAAACATGAAAGCCAGCTCATCATTCCCTGCACCAGTGGAGCTGACGTGCCTAGACACCTTGTCAGTAGGAATTAAACTTGATTCCAGCCACTAAGAGCCAGTCATTGGATTTGCCCCTATGTAGTTAAACAAGTGTAGAATAGGAAAGAAGAATTTTCATCTCTGGCCTGCAATGGTGCAGCCGTGTAAATAACTGGAGAAAAAAGGCTGGAATAAGGGCAATCTCCTGGGCAGACATGTCCAAAATACTCCTAACTAATATATCCTTTTGTATATTCAGAGTGCTACACTTGCATGAGTTGATGACCCCTTAGATCCCAGTTTCTCAAGTCCATGCTCCTGCTAGGAACTTCCATATCAAATGAGTGAGCAATTTTTGCCAGTGAACCTGAGAAACACCCAAATCAAACCCTAGCTCCAAGAAGCAAGCAAGCCACACTGGGAACGCCTGCAAAATTGGAATCCCAATCCACATGCTTCCTGAAATGGGCCAAAAGACAAATAGAGAACTGCCTAAACTTGGACAACATTTGAAATCCAGATTGGAATCTAAATTTTGCAACTAGTCCCCACGTCACAAAAGAAATCATGAGGCAGAACAGCCAAGAATTGGGGAGAGGAAGTCTTGAAGGCTGGATCCAGAACCAAGGTCTGGACCAAAGTTTTAGGATTTGAACTGTTTTGGGAGGGTAGAAACAACAACAAAAAAATCCCCCAAACCAAACAATCAAGTTCTGTATGTTCATAATTATGCCCATTACCAAAGTAAACTGGAACTATGCAGAATCTGCATGGCAGAACGATGTAAACACCAGGGTCCTCCATTTGACATGTAACAACCCAGGCGTGTTGCTGGGGTTAAGAAGGGAGACAAGTCTGCCTCTCAGCAGGTTTGATCATGTTCACCTCTGAACTTTGGGATTCCCCTGAACCCAATATTCACAGTGAAAGTCTGGGGTCATGATCAAACAGAATAAAGGTTCCCCTGAAGCCCTGTAAAGCCAAGCTGCATAGTCCCATGAAACTAGCACTCAACACCATCAGCCCTTCTCCCATTAAAAACAATGGCAAAGTATTTTCCATTGTCTCCATGTGAGAAAGGTCAGGCCCTTCATTAGAGGCTGTATGTAGTAGCAGGAAGAAAAGAAATCTATATTTCTCCTTACCTTTACATATTTTGTGTTTAAATCTTGAAACTCTCCCAATTTCCTATTCTCAAGTAGACGGATTTCATAAGACTGACCTAGAGTTTAAGGAAACATTTCCAAGGTGTTTAATATGTTGTAGCAATGAGAGAGTCATGCTGGCATTTATGTGGCTAATAAAGCATACGTTTGATCAGGGAAAGCTCATTTTTGGTAACATAATGCATTTGCCCCAGTAATCGAGTAGGCACTAAAGCACAGCAGAAATCCGAGGGGAAGGCTTGTCTTTTGGCAGCTAAGAGCTCTCAGTTAAGACATCAATAGTTTGTCTCATGGGGCTGCTACAGTTTTCTGGTCACCCTTCAGAAAGTCACCAAGGTGTTCGAGGCAGTTGTCCTGCCGTGTCACATGGCTGTAACAGTACCACCTTTGCCTGTCCCTTCTGCTGAAGCAACAGTTGCGTGAAGAGCTGCTGGCACAACAGGTCTAGGCACTATTCTGCAGAGGATAGTAACTTGGGCAAAATCTCGCCTTCTTCAGAGAGCAGTCAGGCCTGTAAGGTGTTTTGGTGAACCAGAAATACAAGATTTGTTCCACAAGGCCTTGAATGTGGCTGCCCAGGGCATAAATGCTCCTTCAGACATGCATGTGGAAACAGCAACAGGTATTACAGCATGTGCAAGGACCAATTCCAGGAAGGGAATTCATACTCCAGCACCTCCCCACCACCACCCTCAGCATAAGGAGTTTAGCCAGTTCGGTAGAATTTAGCGAACTGGTTTATGAAATAACATCTCCCTCCAAGGCTGACAGCAGACAAAGGAGACTGGTGTCTCAATACCTTATGCATAAATGGCTAAGACAGCACAAAAGCTCATTGTATAGGACCAACTCTTTAAAATAAACCTACAGCCAGTACAGAGGCAGGACAGGATCATTAGGATTAATGGAACATACGTATACTTTATAGCTAGTTTTTCTTGTTCATCTTGCTATTCCTCCCTTTTACTGAAAAATGTACAGGATAAGACAAGGTAGGCACCAAGGAGATCAGTTTGGGTTTTCTGGCTCAACCAGTACCTCCACAAAACTGGCCCTGCAGAGAACTGCAAAATAGATATATCTCCCTCTAAGCTGTTGCTATCAGCAGAGACAAAAAATGCTACATATCTGAATCTAGAAATAGAATACTTAGGACAGCAGATGTGTCAGAAGGGCACTGTATTTCAGGTACATTCCCTTTTGGGAATCCCAGCTCTTCCAATTGGCCACATGAGTACAGGCCATATCACTAGATCATTGTGCTTATTCAGCTGGTTGGCAGAAAAAAAAAGAGAAGGAAAAAAAAAAAAAGACATGAGAGGACATACTGAAGCCCCAAATGTTTGCACAACACACCTATTGATGTCAATAAGAGTTCTGCAAACAGGAAATGACCCTTGAATCCCGCAAGTGGCTTAGGGCATAGGGAGAGCGGGGAATAAACCATATAAAGTACCAAATTAAGCACTGGAAACACGCGTAGAACTTAACCTATCTCTTTGCACTTAAGTAAACCAAAATGACAACAGTGACCTTCCTTTGAAGACTGCTGGACAACAAAAGTGGATTATGTAAACCACAGCTCTGAAATTGAGGTCTTCCACACTTTAACTCAAGAGATTTTCTCATGTTCCCACTGATACACATTAATATTGTTCACTTGGAAATTTTTAGAAAGAGGTACATATGTCTCCACATAATCGATACTGTTTCATTAGCATAAAAAGATCTGGATTAGGTTCCCAAAACTGGTTTTCTTTCATAGTCATAAAATTATTTAGGTTGGAAGAGACCCTTAAGAGCATCAAGTCTAAGCATTAACCTAGCACTACCAAGTCCACCGCTAAACCATGTCCCTAAGCACCACATACATAGGTACATAGTACAACACATGTTATACATGTGTATATGTTGTATGAAGCACTTGGCTGCTTAATGGCTCTGTTCAGAGGCAGATTTCACCAGCTACAACGTGATACAGCTCATTGCCTGAGACAAATTTACACAGCCAAGCATCTCTTGTACTTACAGTTCATTCCCATAAAATACGTAAATATGAGGCTAATTAAACATGACAGAAAATTAATTTAGTATTTGAGACCATGAGCACCCAAGAGACAGTAAAATACTCCTATAACTGTACTCAGATGGGGTAACAGGGACAGAGAAATTACATGGCACAAGCTGTGCTGTAGAGGAAGGCAATGGTAGAACCAGAAGCACTGACAGCTTTCAGTGAGCATCTCAGGAATGAGCAGGTTTTTGGGACACCTTTGTGCACTGATACACTCCTATTCTTTGGTCAGCCTGATTTGCTTATTTGTAGTTCCAATGAGACAAAAGCAAATAATAGGCATGAAAACGTCAGCCATGTTCCTTTCAAACTAGCATCAAGCTTTCAAAAACTCTGCAGTATGCATCTTCAACCACTTGCATGTGATAAGAACAATACTGCAGCCTGGCAGACAGCAGACACTGCACATCTCCTGACAGGAGTGATTCTGTCAGGAATCTGTCAGAAACAGATTCTGCCCACTGGTAAAAAAAGAAACTTTAGTGGAGATAGAGTTAATATTAAATAGAAAGCCAAAGAGGAAATAAAATGCTTTGATGAAAGATATATGGGTCATCTGATGTAAGCCCTGGAACTTGGTTTACGCCATGAAAAACCTCAATCAAGATGGTATTTTATGCTAACTGCTTTCCCCTTGACCTCTGAATGTTTCACTGCAGTTACTACACAGAATTGTTATCAAAACAAGACTGTTCCCAGCCAAGCTTCAGAAAACAGGCGGTTTATTTCCCTCTCCGTGGAATTCTGTCACTGAGAATTTGGTCCTAATTCCTCACAATTCCTTTATATATAAATATTTTGGTATTGATTTTGAAAAATTAATTCTCCCTACAACTTATCCCAGCAAATTCATTGCTTTGTGGCTAATAATACTCATAATTCATTGGTGTGGCATGGATAGCATTCAGATACTTGTATTTTTATAGCACCAAACTGCTTGGATTATGTTTTTTTTTTTCTTGAAAAATGTGTGTTTTCCACCATCACAACCAGCAAAAAGCCTGAAATGGTGAATTACAATCTCAGTCCTGCAATTGTAACAACTGTGAGGAAAAGAAGCCCTTAAGAATCAGTACTTGGATGTTGGAAAACAAGATCCCTTAGTAAAATAAATAAAATAAGTGTCCTAACCTGAAGAAAGCTGAACTCCACCTGGTGTCAAAGAGGGCAAAGAAGTCACTCAGGACTGTGGTACACAGATCATCTATGAATCCTGCATCACTGACACCAGCACTAGCAGGCACAGACTGACAATTTTCTGCTAAAACTAAATCAGCAATAGATCATTCTTATTCAGGCATCTAAAACTGTAAAGAAATGTGGCTGCAAGTGCGACTAAAACAAACTGTACTCCTACTTCCCAGGACAGTCTGCAACTAGCTAAGCCCAAAACATACAGCTGAAATATAGAGAGTTCCCCTGTACTGAATTTTTCCATCTGTCTCAGGAATACAGATTATACAGGTTAGACTACAATCTTTCCAAGCGAATGCTTGGTGGTAAAGCTGGAGACAGGGTGTCCTGCTTTCAGCTGTGATAGAGCTATTTTTTTTTTTTTTTTTTTTTGGTTTAAACCATGGCACAGGAGCAGAGAGTACCGATGCTGTGCCTCTGCAATGATTTGATTGAATGGTCTGACTTTGACCAGGACAGTATCTGGTCCTCAGCTGACAAGGGTTTAACATCCATGTGGCTCAGATGGAAGGAAAAGCCTGAAGAAACCATCTGTGGCAGTGGAGAGCAGCAGTGGCAGTTTAAGAGCAGTCCCCTTCTACCAGGATGATATTCAACATTGCTGAATGTAAATCTTAAACCCAGTGCTAAAGGCCAGCAACATGCTGAAACCCTTTTCCTTCCATGCTCTCAACACTGCCCATCGCTGCACCAACACAGGTTCAAGATAGCTTCAAAGTTGGTAACCAGCCTGGTCTCTGGCCACATTGTACTATCAGACACGTGTGTACAACAGCACCTAAAGCATCTCTGTCACTACCTGAAATGAAGAGGACATTTTGCAAGCAAATCCCTGGCATAGCTACAGCAAAAGCAGCCTCTTGCCTGTGCAACCCGGTGCTCTATTCACACAGGGCTTGACACAACCTTCTTCCCAACCTCAGGCAGAGAACAGAACGGTAATAAAAATTTAGAAAACCACAGTAAATTCCTGAGATGCAATTTGTCTCGCAGCTTCACTGAAAGCTTCAGGGGCACCAATAAAAACCTGGGTGGGTGATGATATGCTGTAATTTGTATTTTGAACAGACATTCCCTGAGCAACAGCAAATTTATGCAATCTCCTCCTAGGCTAGAATTTGAGCAACTCTACTTTACAAACAAGAGTAGTATCCAGCAAAGTAGTAACCATCCAGGTCCAGAGGGTTCCTGCTTGGTGATTCATAAAGCAATTGTATCTATCTTAAAGAGGATTTATAGACTGTTTACTTTTTTAACTTTTATTGTCTCTGGTAATTAATGCACATTAAATGCATACATGACCACTTAGTCTGGGGACAGAAGAACTGAAAGGCAACAATTTGCTACAGATGAAAAAATAATTTAGTTCAACATGGGAACGCTTTCACCTGCTTAAAAGGTACAAGCTTAACTGATTTCCGTTGCTGGAATTTAATCAGCTATCATGAATTCTATGCATTTTCTGATTATAAAAGATTATTTCAAGCTTGAAGTTACATTTTGTTCAAAGATTATTTGCTACACAACCACAAAATCCTGCTTGCTTTTTTTTGTTGCTTTGGTGTTAGGTTTCAAGGGCCACTTGCACTATGCATTTTGTGGTTTTCTGCACGATACACCAATACGATACACTAATTTCCAACTGGGATGCTGATATTCCAGACCAATATGACTCAGGCCTTACTTAGTGTAGCTAAATAGTCTGCTTGCCTTCCCAGCAATTAATTAAACCCTAACCTTAGACTAAGCAATATTCCCAACAAAAGTCTGTGAAAAGAAAAAACACAA